ACATCTGCTTTGGGAAGTATAGCGGTTCGTCACGAATATAGTAAACTCAGTTTCACGTAAGACACTTTCCTCGACGAAAATTGTTTTCCGTAAGCGTGCACAATTAATTTCGAAAAAAACTGCCTGTCTCATAGTTACACAATTACCGGCGACGTGATATTTTCTCTACGACAAAGTCAATAGAACACACAACAGTCGCCGAGAGAAGGAAAATGGCAAGGCACGTCTTTCGAACTCTTGACCTCTAGCACGCGTTCCATGCCTTCCGCCCGTACTTCGTCTGCACGCGCGTGATCGAGGTGCACGAGGCACCGAAACGTTGTCGGAAGGTGAAGGCCTGCGTCGATAGGCGGAAAAAACTGAACGTCTCCAGCCTTTCCACTCTGGCTTGCCAACTTGCGCCGGCCATTACTTCATTCCAACCATAGTACAGCTTCGCTGGTCTTCCTTCTTCACCAGAGTGGAAAGGCTGAAAATCTTTTTGTCGCGAGATAGGTTGAAAAGAAAACGTGAAGATGTTTATTTTTACAAAATGTATGACAGCCTAGAGATTTAGTTGCGACGGTTTTCTTTGATGTAGCCAGGATATCCCACAGCAGTACAAGTTAAGACTACTCACTGGGCGAGTTGGTGATTCCCCAGGTAGCACACGTTCTTGGGCCAGCTTGGACCAATATTGGTGCTTGATTGTAGTAAGCTGGCCCAGCATCACCCAAGGAATACGATTGCCAGCCTGGCACTTCGTTGTATTTTCTGGCCCAAGGTTTCCATGCTACAGCCAGAGCAGGGCTTCCTTGGCTGGAGCTCGCATTTTCCCGGCCAGGGCCGGCCGATATAGACAGACCACTGCCAGGAAGTGCGTTTCCTTGGCTGGAGCTCGCATTTGCCCGGCCAGGGCCGGCCAATATAGACAGACCACTGCCAGGATGTGCGCTTCCGTGGCTGGAGCTCGCATTTTCCTGGCCAGGGCCGGCCAATATAGACAGACCACTGCCAGGATGTGCGCTTCCTTGGCTGGAGCTCGCATTTTCCCGGCCAGGGCCGGCTGAGATAGACAGGCCACTGCCAGGATGTGTGCTTCCCTGGGGATTCACTGAGGTTCCCTGGCCCAACCAATATAAGAAACAGCCAGCGTTCGGCCATGTTGCCAGACTACAGAATGCAATGAAGGTGAATTGCAGTGATCAACTGTACCCTGACTGGAGCTCGCATTTCATAGGGCCAGAAATACCAGTGATATGCCGCTGTTACTCCGGCCGGCTGAAAGGATGGCCAAGAAGCTCCACGCCCAGGCTGTCCAATCAGCCCAGCCAGAGATGCCAGACGACCCGCCTGCTAGCGCGGACTAAACAGCTTACGCTGAACTGAATAAAATTAAGTTTCCGGATTGTTTTAAATTGGTTCCTGTGTATTTTATTAACATAGGTCACATTCTTGAACATGCACATTAATAGCATTTTCGTGAATACTAGCCTGTTCTCAAACAAGATAAAATCTGAGACTCTCATACAAAAATGGTCTATGGTCGTCTATGGAAAATTATATGGCAGGCTATCACCCCTTATGGCCCTCTATGATTGGCCATAGAAATCCATAAAGACAGCTACAGCCAGCTATAGAAAAATCTATGGCCCTGTGTCTAAAGACTGGGAACCAATAAACTTTCTTTACCCGCCCATACAAAATCTTTTGGCCACAAGTCTAAAGACTGGGAACCAATAAAATTCCTTTAGACGCCTATAGAAAATTATGTGGCCCCGTGTCTAAAGACAGCGAACCAATAAATGTTCTTTTCCCGCCTATAGAAAACTTCTTCGCCCGAGTTTAAAGACTGGAAACCAATAATTTGTCTTTACCCGTCTATAGAAAAATAAATTTATGGCCCAGAGTCTAAAGACTGAGAACCAATAAATTTTTTTTCCACGCCTACAGAAAATCACTACCGGCGCTTACTTTTTTTTTAGTAAAAACACTCCACGTTAGAAAATTAAATCAATACTAAATTTCTGTCAGGCCGGTGACAAACCGTGACCCAAGATATGTTCTCTGCTGTTGCAACGAGTCGTGAAAATTAGTAATACTGTTTGTTTGAAAAACCTATTAAAATACTTGTACGAAAATTAAAGTTAATTATTACTCCCAAAAGTGAAAATAACGTTCACTGGCGCCGAACACTGCAATCACGCAATAGATTGATTGCAATCTTCAGTACCAGTGTACTGCATGTCATCACTGCATTGTCAACGTGATTCATCAAACTTATTGAAAAGTTAATTAATACATTTTAATTAATTAGCCTAACGATCTAAATTTGTTTTTCTCAGGGTTTCGAATTAAGAGATGGTGGCTATTCCAAGAGACAATTCAAGTAATGTATTAAGTACGAGTAATATTTGCTCCGCCTCTCCGTGTTTTTTCGACAAATGATGGGTCACCGGCAAAGTCGGATTCAAAAATTAGAGTGCCATATATACAGCTAGTGCGAACATAGCGCTTGTAGATCTATGTTGTTGCTGCTGTGTGGGGAAGTGTTCGGCTTGTGTTGTGTGTGTTCAGGGATGTATGTCTATAGCCATGATTGACATAGAATTACACGTATATCTATACATTGATACACATACACCATGTAGCGTTCACAAGTCGGGGGAACTTGAAGTAATTTTTTTTGGGGGGGTTTGCTGGCTAAAGAGAGCCATAGGGAAAGCCATAGTATTTATTCAACCATTAGAAAAGCTAAAGAGCGCTATGGCGGGACAGCGATAGGGCCATAGACAAACCTAAAGAAAAGTAGAAAAAGTGAAAGCCGTTTACAACTTCCTGTAACGCCGAATTGGAGCGCAGCTCTTGAGGAGGAGGAGTGGAGGGTATATTTCTCCTCCTCCCTCGTGATCATGCCTGCTAGTCCTCCTCCCCTCCTGCTCCCCCTCCCTCTCCTTTACCACCTGCTCGTCCTTCAAGCTGCTCCCCTCCGCTCGCCTCCGCCTCCTCGTCTCTCCTCCCCCCCTCCTCCACCTTCGTACTCCTTTCCTCCTTGCCGCTCAAGCCGGAAAGTGTCGCGTAAGAGCTGTGCTCTGAAATATAGAGTGAGGACAAATATTTTGGAGGGTTGAAATTTTATTGATTGGGGAAAAACCGTGGTGTATATTGGAAACTGCGTTGCATATCCAGCCAAGGTTTACGCTAATAACGTACAAAGCCAACCTACGCAATTGTTATACCAATGTACCTTAAAGTTTGCTCCGCGAGTTTCCAATTTACGTCCTGGATGAAAACCCCATTATTAATTTAACTAAAACGCCATGATCAGCCGCCGTGGTACGATGTTCAGCAGCCTCTCCAGTGTAGCAGCCAACCAGGACATGAAAAAAAAAGCATGTAGTTAAGCAGTGGGCAAATCTTCCCAGGGTTTATGCTTGACATCCATGCTTAGACAGTTAGAAGTTAAAATGCTGCCTACCTTTTTTTTTGTCTGCTGTGCGTGAGCAGCAAAACGTTTTCACTTCTAAGCTTACAAGGGTTTCAAGGTGACGTGATCACCAGACTAAAACTGGGATGGTTTTCGTCGTCCTAGTAGATGGGCACTCGGCGGAGTATAATATAGAAAAAAACTTATAATAAGTGAAACAAGCGTAAAAAAAGACACTTTAGAGAAGCTACAGGCAGGCATACCATCTTAAACTTGATAAGGGACTTACCCCAAACATGGTGTTGTGATTTGTTTAGATCTGGCACAAGATGAACTTCAATACTTGATGATGAAACAGGGTCATGAAAGTCGTCACATGCTTGGAACACACCTACAATAAATGTACCGAAGCCGGTCTGAACTGTGTTAATGACGTTTACAATGTTTTCGTCGAACGTCTGAACAATGCTGTCGGCCGTGTTAAATTCGAATGAAAAATATTCAAGCTCTAGATACTTAGAGTGTGTAGTTCCAGTAGCAAAGGAAGGAAGAGGCGCCGAGCTATGACATTCCCAAAGTTCCAAATGTGCTCCAAGCAAGGGGGGGGGGGGGGGGGGGCGGGAGGGAACGGAGGGGAGGGTATGCCCCTCCTCCTCATCCGTACTCTCTCGTCGTCCCCTTCTCCTCCTCTTGTGCTCCTCCTCCTCTTTTGAGGTATTTCGATTTTGCGATATACCGTACTGAACTATGTAATATATTGTGGTATTTTTGCTCACCGCTTGTATGGAGAAAGGGAATATATTTGTCAGATCTGGAAGCTCCAATGTGATTTACGATTGATGAGACCTCTTGCTTGCACAACACGTACCTGGCATCTCCTCTCCTCCTCCTCCTCTACCTCACCGTCCTCCTCCTCCTCTTCGTCTTGTACGACTTGCACGCTCCAACTGATAACGAAGCCAGTAGATGCTCCTCCGAGTGGCCCGCCTAACACGTCTCAAGGTACGCAAGACCGTCGGAGGGAACAATTTCCCAGCTTTCGTTCTTCTCCTCCTCCTTTCTTCCTAGCGTGCAGTCCATATCGTCGCCAAAGTTCGGCGTCCAAAATCCCCACAATATATACAAATATAGAGCAAGCTCCTCCTATACTGGTGCTTTAAATAGCACTCTTATCCCAGTCTTTGATTGTTATGAAGGAAGCCTTGTGATCTGAGAAGTGACAGGATATGTGTTCCAGGTGATGGACCAAAGGCTGATTTTGAAAGACGAGGTCTATGCACGTATTTCGAGAGGTCGTCACAGCGGTGTGAGCTGTTACGAGGGAGAGAAATGGGAGGTTTTCCTGCATAAGTGGTATGAAGTTCTTATTCTTCTTTAAGTCTGCATTAAAGTCCCCCACTACTAACATGGGTGTGGACCCACGTGTGCTTAACGCAAGTCGCAGAAAATGCACGATATCTTTGGTGAGTGCTGTAGGCGAGATATACAGAGCCACCACTACCAAGCCGTTGTCGAACTTGGCGCCACAAAGTTCTCCAACTTCGTCTGACGTTCCAAATATCTCGATGGGTACGGCAGACAGACCCTTACGCACGTAGATGGCCACCCCTGCCGCTCTGTTCTGCTCTCTACTGACGCCGCAGCAGTACTGGTAGTCCATGATTTCTACCGCCTGTTTTGGATCCATCCACGTTTCCGAGAGGCAAAGTACAGATGCATGGCGTAGGATGGGGTCGTGGTGTACGTCCTTGGAATGCGCCGGCAGAGAGCGAACATTAAGTGCGGCGACCGAGAACAAGTGCGGTTGCTTAATCATTGCGTAGCACTTAGCAGTGACAGTTTGGAGTTTGTGTGACTGCAGCCGACGAAACTCATCAAGTAGTACCCTGTCGGGATTGGGCTTGCCGTGGTAGAACGTAAAGTCATTGTCCACATTGGTGAGGTAGAGCCCGTTGATGTCTGTAGCACGACTCAGTGCCACGTATACCAATTTCTGTGGATGACTCTTGGCATACGAGTACACCACGTTTTCATACGTGCCTCCCTGTGATTTGTGAATGGTGATAGCACTTGCTTGCACAACGGGTAGCTGGCATCTCCCCAGGGATATCCTTGACTTCTTATCAATGACGCAAGTGACTGTGCGTCTTTCGATAGGTGTCCAATTTTGCTGAATATTTGTGTCGAGTGCCCGTAACTGCCGGGATTTTGCGGCCGCCACGGTTCCAATCGCAATTTTGGAACCAAGGTCACCGAAATGCAGCGAGATGCGTTCCGGGTCTCGGAGCGTATCGTATTGTATGTACTGCAGTATTCCAACAGAGCCATTGACCAGACCATCGGAAACATCGACATTGAGTGTGAGCATATATGGTTTTCCAATGCATAGCATTATATTAGCTGGCAGGTTTCCGAGTTCGGCCTTGGGCAGCGTTTCGGCCTTGCGCACAGCCTCTGTCTTCTCCTGCACAGACCTGAATCCAACGATTGTGTCCCGTGCCGGACATGCCACACAATTATCTTCGGTTGCAATGGCCGTGTTCGTATTGTAGTAGTCCGATTCCTTATTGGAGTAGTACAAGCGGATGCCACCGGGACAACACGTTTCTGCTTGTTGTTGCGTGACGAACCGACTCTGAATCAATGCGATTTCTTCGGAATCCAATTCTGCACCGTCTCCAATTTTGGTAAGTATGGTGGAAAACCTGAGATCGCTTTGCCTTACGACCTTCGTGAGGACAAAGTATGACAAATGGTGCCATGCGATTTCCGTGTTAAACACACTGTTCGTCTTGACGCGCTTGAAAACCTCGGCGGCACGAACGGGGGGAAGCTGGCGCAGGTCTCCGCAGAGGATGATGTCTAACCCGCCGAAAGGCTCTAGGTATTTGCAAGTGATGATGCGGAGTCGCGAGTCCACTTTCTGAAGGATGTCGGCGGACATCATGCTAACCTCATCGATAATCACGCACCTGACGTTCCTGAACGCATAGCGGAACGTGTTCAACTCGTTGTCCCTCAGTCCGCCATCCCTATTGATGGTAAGTCTGAACGCTGCATGTACAGTTATTCCACCAAGCGCGACCGCCGCTTTTCCAGTTGTAGCACAGGCAACATAGGCGTTTACATTATCTGAACCAGCAGGGTTGCAATATCTGTTGTAGACGTCCATGATGAGATCAGTACAGATGTCTTCCCACATCCAGCCACTCCCGTGAAGAAGATTTGTAGTGGCGGAGAGTCCGGTATAGTGAGTCTATGCACGACTTCTCGGACGATCTCGTACTGCTCCTCATTCGTCTTCCGCATTGTGTCCAGGTACTGACCTCTGCTCATGACGTCTTGGCGCGTGCACACGGCGGGGCACTGCTTAAACGGGGCATTGGATTGGACCATACCGATGTCTAGGAGATCGGAGTCGTCGTTTTCCATGGCCATCGGGTGCAGTCTCACATCTGGGAGCTCAGAAGTGGCACAATGCTCCCCGTCATTTGACTGGAGCATGGAATTACAAACGGCACGAATTTGCTCAATGTCTACGTCACTGTGGTACCGTGCCTTGTTCTGTAGAATGACGTCGATGTTTTGCTCATACAGACGCTCGAAACAGTTTTGGTCTAAGATGTCAACTTCTTTGCGGAATGGATAGAAGAGCAGGACATGTTCTCGCTTGAAGTTGACTGAATCGTCTACGGAGTAACCGCGGTAGCGAAGTATCCTTCGCTGATTCCTCTTTCTGTAGGTATATATGTTGTACTCGGTAGCGAACTCTGCTAGAGTAACAGGTTCCAATTCGGGAATGCGGTCTTCGTAGCGCTCGATCATCGTCCGTTTCCATACATCAGTGCTTGATTCTACTAAGCCTTCCTGCGCCATCTGAGCGTTAGACTTCCGAATGCGCGTCCTCTCCTCGGGCCATGCAGAGTTCACGAAGACAACTTTGCGACTCGCCTCCGACATATCCTGGTTGAGCAAACACCATGCGGCCTCCTGTGCGGACAGTTCAATGGCATTCAACATTTTCACACCTAGATGTCTCAGTGCCTGAGAATAGGCCATATCCCCCTTCTCCTTGACAATTTCTTGCACTGCTCGATTGAGGTTCGACATACCTCGGTTGGCCTTGTTTACATATTCCACCACGTAGGCAGCACACGCGTACGTGTCGAGGACGATCTGAAGATCCATGTTAGAATCGAGAATTGATGCAACCCATGGGTTAAAGTAATTCACCCACTTTTGCTGCACAGTACGGGGTAGCATGATGGTGGCACGAGGAGTGCCTGCTCGGAGAACAGAAATGTACTCCGCCTTGTCCGCGACACCGTGATGTTCCCAAAACTGCTCCATGGAGTCATAATTTGTCGTTTCCAGGGCCTGATGCATGGCCTCGTACTTGTTTAGGAGGCTCTCGATTTTCTTCTTCTGCGCTTCATTGTCCACAGTGGGGAAAGGCACTACGACCATACATTCATCGATGGGCATAAAAGGCGCGTAAAGCGGCATCTGGTGGTGTTGTGCTTGTAGCAGGTATGCGTGTGTTGGTGCACCTGAGTCCGCTCCCGCTTCAAGCATCCGTTGTCGATGGAAAGCAGAACGTTGGCTATTTCAAGAGTCTGGGGCATGAGCATCGAGAGCTCCTCGTTGGGCGCGTTATGAAGCCAAAGGAGAATGTGCGCGTGTGCCGACCCGCGGTGCTGAAATTCGATCCGCTTAAAGTAGTCGACGACTATGTACGACCTAAAAGGCGATACACGGGTGTTGCGGAGAATGTTGAGAATGACACGCACCAATCGGTCGAAATATATGGCACAGACCACGGGATCGTCATTTACTAGCTGAGCTCGATAAATGCTGTTCATTTGCTCCAGTGGTACTTCGATCTCGCCGGGCTTCAACCGAAGGCGTTGAAGCAACTGCAAAAGGTCGGGCCAGTGCATTTCCGAGGCAGAAAGAGTGAGGAACGCGGTCGGCTTACCCAACTGCCGTATCATAGCAAAGAGGTCTTTCTTGCGTTTTGTCCAGTACTGCACGGTGTTGGGTATACCATGCATGAAAGCCATGTCGTGCTCGACCGCTTGCTGCACAAAATCCTTGTCCAGCAACTGTTGCTTCGTTAGTGTTTCCAGTGCCTTTATGTTACGGAAGGCCACACACATGTCACCGGCTACTCGGTGCGTAAACACTTTCATGGCCATGTACAGTACGTGCTGCGGGGTGGCCCCTCGACGGTCTGATCTGCGGATCTCACTCATGGCGTGTGTGAAGACTGTCGGTTTTGCGCTGGCATCTACTCGGCGCGGCTCACCGAGATAGATCTGTGGGAACGAGAGCTCCTCTGCGTGTTCGTCGTAAAGGATGCTCACGGGCCTTTTTCCCTCACCTGGCGCAATCGCTAGAAACTTGTCTTCGTCCCATACGAGAGTGTGCTGAGCCAGAGTCATGGCTGTAGCCACTTGGATCGGATCGTTGAGGTCTGAGCATTGCGGGAGCAACTCGATCTCGTCGTGTTCGTCCACTTCTACGATATCCCCCAAACGGGCAAAATCGCACTTTATATTATAATGCTTGTACAGCGTGCTATCACACAGCAGCTTAAGCCACGGCAGCAGATCACATTTTTTTACTGCCCCTGCCAGATACGTCGTCTTCGCAAGCATACGCCGCTTCAAATGTACATTGAGGGCTCGGTCTTGTTCCATGGCACGAGGCAACATTGTCACCATGTCGTCCACATCAACACAGACGTTCACTACTGGTCCCTTAATGCCGTGTTGACCTCCACCGTGCATCAGCCGTCGCAGTTGCATGAAAGGAATTCGTGGAGATATGAGTCTCTCACTCACCGCGTTCAATTGTGGCAGGTGGGCTGGCTTCGGGGGATATACATAACCGTTACTTGAGGAAAGATGAGGAATATGACCCTTGTGCACTGATTGTATGCAGGTCGAGCACAGTTTGAATTGGGTTAGGTCCGAGTTTGGAAATGATTGCTCTAGGGTCTCGTGACATCTGTCCGGTAGCGGTTGCAAGTCGTTTTGGAACCAGAGCCGATCACAGACTGAACATACGCTCCCAAACGGGTTGTCTCTAAACAGCCGTTGGAAAATTTTTGTTGCACCGTCAGGCTTAGCGATCCTTGCCTTTTGCTTGGCTTCCGCTTCGGCGACGCTCACTCCTGGCTGCTCTCGGCGGCGGCGATGAGCCTCTGCCTCGGCTTCGCGCACTTCCGGGTCCTCTCGACGGCGGCGCTTAGATTGAGCTTCAGCAGCGCTTACTTCTGGCTGCTCTCGGCGACGGCGATGAGCTTCTGCTTCGGCGTCGCGCACTTCCGGGTCCTCTGGATAGCGGCTTCTGGCTTCCGCTTCGGCGGCGCTCACTCCTGGCTGCTCTCGACGGCGGCGATGAGCTTGTGCTTCGGCGTCGCGCACTTCCGGGTCCTCTCGATAGCGGCTTCTGGCTTCCGCTTCGGCGGCGCTCACTCCTGGCTGCTCTCGGCGGCGGCGATGAGCCTCTGCCTCGGCGTCGCGCACTTCCGGGTGGTCTCGACGGCGGCGCTTAGATTCCGCTTCAGCAGCGCTTACTTCTGGCTGCTCCCGACGGCGGCGATGAGCTTCTGCTTCGGCGTCGCGCACTTCCGGCTCCTCTCGATAGCGGCTTCTGGCTTCCGCTTCGGCGGCGCTCACTCCTGGCTGCTCTCGGCGGCGGCGATGAGCCTCTGCCTCGGCGTCGCGCACTTCCGGGTGGTCTCGACGGCGGCGCTTAGATTCCGCTTCAGCAGCGCTTACTTCTGGCTGCTCTCGACGGCGGCGATGAGCTTCTGCTTCGGCGTCGCGCACTTCCGGCTCCTCTCGATAGCGGCTTCTGGCTTCCGCTTCGGCGGCGCTCACTCCTGGCTGCTCTCGGCGGCGGCGATGAGCCTCTGCCTCGGCGTCGCGCACTTCCGGGTCTTGTCGACGGCGCCGTTTAGCTTCAGCTTCGGCGGCACGCACTGCAGGATCTTGGCGCCGGCGGCGCTGAGCCTCTGCTCGGGCAGTGCGTTTAGCAGCAGCTGCTTCATCTGACTCGCTCATTTTGTGAAAAAAGAACTGCCTGATTACGTCTCGTCGTCGTCGTCTTTGTGACATCACTCATGCTGGATCACGGCGCCGGCGGTGCTGACCCTCTGCTCGTGCAGCACGTTTAGCAGCAGCTGCTAAAGCCCCTCCATCATGAGAAAAGTGGCTGCATTGATTGTTGTGGAAATTAAAGCGCCAAGCCATAGCTATATTGTCAATGTCCTCTTTTGATGCTCTGCTGTTTTGTCGTGGTGCTCTTTTTACGCCGTTTTCTTTTGTCGCTCTGCTGTTTTGACGCCATGCTGTTTTGGAACGTGCTCTCTTGTCGCTGTGCCGTTTCGAGGCTGTGCTGTTTTGTCGCGTGCTATTTTGACGCGTGCTGTTTTGTCGTCGTGCTATTTTGACGCTGTGCTGTTTTAACGCGTGCTGTTTTGACCGTGCTGTTTTGTCGCGTGCTGTTTTGTCGTGTGCTGTTCTGTCATGGTGCCTCTCAGTCCGTGCGCGCGCATGCATTCTACAAACCGTCGCAACAGCAACAAAAAAAGGATGACAAGAAGGACGATGAGGAGTTGTGCATGGCGGTTTCTTTCTTTGCCGCTCAATTTTCTTTTGCTGGGCGCTTGGTTTCTTGTTTCGCACTCGTGTAACGCCATCGAAGCCCGACGCCCTGCGCGTCCGTGAAAGGCGCCAGGCTACCCCCCTTTTCCCCTTTGCTCTTTGCTTTGACGCTTGTTTTTTTTATGGCATTTTTTTGGCGTATAAGTCTGTTAGGGCTCCACGAGGGCTAGCAGTTTCCCGCTCATTTTATTTCTGCGCAACTGACTCGCTGACTGACTCGGTTTCGCTTACCGTAAACACTACAAAAAAAATAATTGTGTCAATTCCATTCCCATTTCAGGCAAAAGGCACCTAATTGCATTCCCATTCCATTCCCCTCAACGTTGCCGCCATTCCATTCCCATTCCATTCCGGGGTCGTGAAAATGCGGAATGATTCCGGAATCATTCCAACACCGGAGTGGCAACTCCGCAACACTGCTGTGCAACCAAAATTGCTGGCACTGTCAATGTCTAGTGCTGTTGAAGGAAGTAGTAGAAGATCCTGGGCTGCGGTCAGATCTAGATTAATGTTGAAGCAAAATGTGGGCAGTCACCGAGTGGACTGGAAATCTGTAACACTACTAGCATCTGCATGGAGCAATGAAGCTCCATGCAGTAATACTGCATGGAGCAGTAATACTGCTGGCACAATCCCGTGACTGAGAGGGCGCGAGTCCTTGGGCTGCGGGCAGATATAGGGCAACGTTGAAGTGAACTGGGACCGTCAGCGAGTGGGTTAGAATGATGTAGCACTGATAGCCTTTGCATGGAACACTGAAGTACCTGGGTCGGCACCGTGCAAAGCGACGGTTGCAGTAATACTGCTGGTACAATCCCGTGACTTAGAGGGCGCGAGTCCTTGGACTGCGGGCAGATCTAGGGCAACGTTCAAGTGAACAGGGACCGTCAGCGAGTGGATTGGAACGGCGTAGAATTGATAGCATTTGCATAGAACACTGGAATACCTGGGTCGGCACCGTGCAAGGCGACGGTTGCTGTAATACTGCTGGCACAATCCCGTGACTTAGAGGGCGCGAGTCCTTGGGCTGCGGGCAGATCTAGGGCAACGTTGAAGTGAGCAGGGACCGTCAGCGAGTGGATTGGAACGGTGTAGCACTGATAGCATTTGCATGGAACACTGAAGTACCTGGGTCGGCACCGTGCAAAGCGACGGTTGCAGTAATACTGCTGGCACAATCCCGTGACTGAGAGAGCGCTACTCCTCGGGCTGCGGGCAGATCTAGCGCAACGTTGAATCGAGCAGGGATGTTAGCGAGTGGATTGGAACGGTGTAGCACTGATAGCATTTGTTTGGACACTGAAGTACCTGGATCGGCACCTTGCAAAGCGACGGTTGCAGTAATACTGCTGGCACAATCCCGTGATTGAGAGGGCGCGAGTCCTTGGGCTGAGGGCAGATCTAGCTCAACGTTGAAGTGAGCAAGGACCGTCAGCGTGTATATTGGAATGGTGTAGCACTGATAGCATTTGTATGGACACTGAAGTACTTGGGTCGGCACCGTGCAAAGCGACGGTTGCAGTAATACTGCTGGCACAATCCCGTGACTGAGAGAGCGCGAGTCGTTGGGCTGCGGGCAGATCTAGCGCAACGTTGAAGTGAGCAGGGACCGTCAGTGAGTGGATTATAACGGTGTAGCACTGATAGCATTTGCATAGAACACTGAAGTACCTGGATCGGGACCTTGCAAAGTGACGGTTGCAGTAATACTACTGGCACAATCCCGTGATTGAGAGGGCGCGAGTCCTTGGGCTGCGGGCAGATCTAGGGCAACGTTCAAGTGAACAGGGACCGTCAGCGAGTGGATTGGGACGGTGTAGCATTGATAGCATTTGCATGGAACACTGAAGTACCTGGGCCGGCACCGTGCAAGGCGACGGTTGCTATAATACTGCTGGCACAATCCCGTGACTTAGAGGGCGCGAGTCCCTGGGCTGCGGGCAGATCTAGGGCAACGTTGAAGTGAGCAGGGACCGTCAGCGAGTGGATTGGAACGGTGTAGCACTGATAGCATTTGCATGGAACACTGAAGTACCTGGGCCGGCACCGTGCAAGGCGACGGTTGCTATAATACTACTGGCACAATCCCGTGACTTAGAGGGCGCGAGTCCTTGGGCTGCGGGCAGATCTAGGGCAACGTTCAAGTGAACAGGGACCGTCAGCGAGTGGATTGGAACGGTGTAGCATTGATAGCATTTGCATGGAACACTGAAGTACCTGGGCCGGCACCGTGCAAGGCGACGGTTGCTATAATACTACTGGCACAATCCCGTGACTTAGAGGGCGCGAGTCCCTGGGCTGCGGGCAGATCTAGGGCAACGTTGAAGTGAGCAGGGACCGTCAGCGAGTTGATTGGAACGGTGTAGCACTGATAGCATTTGCATGGAACACTGAAGTACCTGGGTCGGCACCGTGCAAAGCGACGGTTGCAGTAATACTGCTGGCACAATCCCGTGACTTAGAGGGCGCGAGTCCTTGGGCTGCGGGCAGATCTAGTTTAACGTTGAAGTGAGCAGGGACCGTCATCGAGTGGATTGGAACGGTGTAGCACTGATAGCATTTGCATGGAACACTGAAGTACCTGGGCCGGCACCATGCAAAGCGACGGTTGCAGTAATACTGCTGGCACAATCCCGTGACTGAGAGGGCGCGAGTCCTTGGGCTGCGGGCAGGCCTAGCGCAACGTTGAAGTGAGCAGGGACCGTCAGTGAGTGGATTATAACGGTGTAGCACTGATAGCATTTGCATAGAACACTGAAGTGCCTGGATCGGGACCTTGCAAAGCGTCGGTTGCAGTAATACTACTGGCACAATCCCGTCACTGAGAGGGCGCGAGTCCTTGGGTTGAGGGCAGATCTAGGTCAACGTTCAAGTGAACAGGGACCGTCAGCGAGCGGATTGGGACGGTGTAGCATTGATAGCATTTGCATGGAACAGTAAAGTACCTGGGTCGGCACCGTGCAAGGCGACAGTTGCAGTAATACTGCTGGTACAATCCCGTGACTGAGAGGGCGCGAGTCCTTGGGCTGCGGGCAGATCTAGGGCAACGTTGAAGTGAACAGGGACCGCCAGCGAGTGGATTGGAACGGTGTAGCACTGATAGCATTTTCATGGAACACTGAAGTACTTGGGTCGGCACCGTGCAAGGCGACGGTTGCAGTAATACTGCTGGCACAATCCCGTGACTTAGAGGGCGCGAGTCCTTGGGCTGCGGGCAGATCTAGCGCAACGTTGAATCGAGCAGGGATGTTGGCGAGTGGATTGGAACGGTGTAGCACTGATAGCATTTGTTTGGACACTGAAGTACCTGGATCGGCACCGTGCAAGGCGACGGTTGCTGTAATACTGCTGGCACAATCCCGTGACTTAGAGGGCGCGAGTCCTTGGGCTGAGGGCAGATCTAGGGCAAAGTTGAAGTGAACAGGGACCGTCAGCGAGTGGATTGGAACGGTGTAGCATTGATAGCATTTGCATGGAACACTCAAGTACCTGGGCCGGCACCGTGCAAGGCGACGGTTGCTATAATACTACTGGCACAATCCCGTGACTTAGAGGGCGCGAGTCCCTGGGCTGCGGGCAGATCTAGGGCAACGTTGAAGTGAGCAGGGACCGTCATCGAGTGGATTGGAACGGTGTAGCACTGATAGCATTTGCATGGAACACTGAAGTACCTGGGTCGGCACCGTGCAAAGCGACGGTTGCAGTAATACTGCTGGCACAATCCCGTGACTTAGAGGGCGCGAGTCCTTGGGCTGCGGGCAGATCTAGTTTAACGTTGAAGTGAGCAGGGACCGTCATCGAGTGGATTGGAACGGTGTAGCACTGATAGCATTTGCATGGAACACTGAAGTACCTGGGCCGGCACCATGCAAAGCGACGGTTGCAGTAATACTGCTGGCACAATCCCGTGACTGAGAGGGCGCGAGTCCTTGGGCTGCGGGCAGGTCTAGCGCAACGTTGAAGTGAGCAGGGACCGTCAGTGAGTGGATTGGAACGGTGTAGCACTGATAGCATTTGCATGGAACACTGAAGTACCTGGGTCGGCACCGTGCAAAGCGACGGTTGCAGTAATACTACTGGCACAATCCCGTCACTGAGAGGGCGCGAGTCCTTAGGTTGAGGGCAGATCTAGGTCAACGTTCAAGTGAACAGGGACCGTCAGCGAGCGGATTGGGACGGTGTAGCATTGATAGCATTTGCATGGAACAGTAAAGTACCTGGGTCGGCACCGTGCAAGGCGACAGTTGCAGTAATACTGCTGGTACAATCCCGTGACTGAGAGGGCGCGAGTCCTTGGGCTGCGGGCAGATCTAGGGCAACGT